AAAATAAGGCGACTAACTCAGAATCCACAATATACTTAAGCCTGTATCGATTGTGACGAAGCCCAAAGGACAAAGCAAAGATCTACTTAAGTCTATGGGATTGTGTCGATACGGAAATTGAGTTGAAACGAGGGTGCGTCTTCTGTCTAAGCGACCTCTTTAAGATTTTGATAGTCAATTTAAGGCACTAAAAATTTGCTCTTTCCAAAGCTATAAGTATCTACTGAAACATATAGACTGATGGGCATGATCTCATTAAATTCGTGTATAAAATAGGCACTGGTTATGACCCTTGGCAAAGAATGTGTCCCTTTCATTTGTCATATCAGAATACACGACTAAGTTGAACATTTGTGATTTCGACACAAATATTTTTAGCACACAAAACATTTGAACGCTTGTAAAATTTATAGTAAACAAGCAGCCCCCCCCCAATAAAAATAGGAGATTAAATCAGATGTCCAGTTCTAAAGATTCCTGATTTTTTATTTTTACATTATCCTCTCATAAAATGTACTTTTTTTTTCATATATATTGTCCAACCCTTTTTAAATACATATTTTTACTTTTCGCTTGTACTTATTTTTTGGAATTAAACTTTTTTTCTATTTTTTTTTTTTTTAAATTATTTCATCCCAAGCAAAGCGGAAATGCCACTAGTACGCAGGGAGTTACAGGGAGTGAGAGTGAAAGAGAAAACTGAGAAAACTCATCAAGACAATTACCATGAAAATATTTATAGAAATGGCAGAGGGAAGCTACGTTACAGCGGTGGGAAAGTGACTGAAGCCAAGATGCCTGGGCAAGCAACCTTGCAGATTATTCTTTGAATTTTATCAAGAATCTCTAAATACATAGCAGAAGCACCAGACAAGATGTGGCAGCAATGTTCAATCGATGGATGAATGGTAGACTTATAAATATGAAACATAGATTTTGGCGAGAAAAACAAAGTGAACCAATGACACTGTACGACACAGTGAACCAACATTCCTAGCAACAGACCTAGAAATTGATCTTATTAATCTTTCCACTTTACGTCAGCGGAAAACTTTAGCCTGGGAGGGCACAATGATTCACTCTCCTGGAGGTTAGCATCAGCCATGCTGATGGAAGACAAAAAGGTTGTCTCAAACGATTAAAAGAAAGCAGTTTCTTTTTGGAATCATTAAAATTAGCAAGCCATTCCTTGCCACATTTAACAACGGATTGTATGCCATTTTTCAAATCAACTGCCAATGTGACTTTATTGAAGCGATCAGACTTACAAAAGCGGTAAATAGTTGCGTCAGCAGCATACATACCGATTTGAAAACTGGATGACATCAGGAAGGTCTTTGATGAGAATTAGGAACGGGTAGGTTCAAAGGATAGTTCACTGGAGGAGACCTGCACCATTGCAAAAACGATCTAGAAGAATGCCCGTTCAAGGCCATTTTCATTTTACGGTTTGATAAGAAAGACTGTATTAAATTTTAAAAATCCCCAAATACTATAGCCTTTAAACTTGTCCGAGATATCCAAAACAACAGCCCGAGCTTCAAGATTCTTATTTAAAGATTGATAGATTCTATGAACAATAATCGTTAATACATCAATAATTTACCCTAGAGAAGCAAAAGCCATATAGCTTATCTTAAAGAAGACTTTCCGATGTGAGATGCTTAACCAATTCAAAGTCGATTGAATTGATTAATTCGTTTTCTACGACTTATCGACACTTTGCAGGTTATTTAAAGACAGATTTTTTTTTAGATTGTAAGTGTTGTAATGGAATGCCCCACACTCCCTATCGCCTATATGGACTAACTACAGTGGGGTTGAATAAGGGATCATACAGCAAACAAATGCTTGTTATTCTCACTTATAGCGAATGAAAACCTCGAATATATGTATTTTGGGGCATAGAATCAGAATCTGCAATTTAAAATTAAAAATTCATCGATAAGTGATAGTTACGCACATTTCTATAGTTCGAATAGTGGAAAAAGTGTTCGTACAGTATCAACTTTTGAATTATAATACGGTAGATTTTGGTTGTACTAGAAGATTCTAAACTGTTCTAGAATATTCCCAGTAACTCTATTGCAATATTCAGTTCAAAATTGGATCATTTTGCAGCACTGTTCACTGATAACGGTTCTAATAATGGCTAGACGTAGGAAATGACTTGTGTTCAAAAAGAGCTAATTATTAAGCTATGCGACAATGGAAAAAGTTACAGAAACATCTCCAGTGACACGAACATACCTTTTTCAACAACTGGTTCATTTATTACAAGATTTAAAAGACGTAATACTATCGAGAACAAAGGCAGGCCAGGTGCTACCAGGAAGATCTCTCCCAGATTACGAAGAAAGTTGATGCGACAGGTCCAAAATAACCCAATGGACATCAGACAAGACCTTCAGAATGATCTGAGTTTGTCAGGAGTTAACGCAACTAAGCAATCGAATAGTAGTGAATTACGCAGAGACGGTATAAAGTCACGCTCCCCAAGAAAGACACCACTCTGGAACGGCATAGAGATGCCAGGTTGAAATTTGCGACAGAGCATAAAGATAAGGAAAATTCTAATTGGGAAAGAGTTCTTTGGACTGATGAGAGTAAAATTGAGTTGTTCTGTCGCAATTCCCTGAATTATGTATGGAGAAAAGACGGCGAAGCATTCGCACCCAAGAACACCATACCAACTATCAAATTTGGTAGGTGTAGTATCATGATTTGCGGCTGCATTTCAATGCGAGTTGTTGGCAAACTAGCAATTATAAACGGTAGAATGAATGCAGAAAAATATCAACAAATCCTAAGCAAAAATTTATCGTTTTCTGTAGAGAATCTTGGGCTTCCTCCTGATTGGAGCTTCCAGGAGGACACTGATACAAAGCATACTGCTAAGAGTACGAAGAATTGACTTGCTAGTAACAACGTTAACAACTTACAATGGCCCAGTCGCTGGATTTGAATGCAATAGAGAATTTATGGCAGTTTTTGAAAAATAAGATTCGTGATAGAGGTCCAACAAGCATCAAAAACCTAAAGACAATTACTCAGGAAGAATGGGACAAAATACCTACTAAACTATGCGAATCGTTAATCAAAGACTACAGGAAGAGATTGGTTGCTGTTGAACTTAATAAAAGCTTTGCTACAAAATATTAAATGGAGAAAACATGTTTTTGTTCTACGACCATTTTTAAAACGCATAAAAATTTAAATATTGCTATATTTTCTTAACCATGGAATATTATTTAGTTTTATTGGCATACATTTTTAGTATGCATCTGATACAATAGATATATTCCTGTTTTGTTAATTTAATGTTACAAATAAAAAAAATGATATATTTTCATGTGTACGATCACTTATTCAACCACACTGTATATCAGTAGCTATATATAGTGAGCATAGGATATGCCTGAGGACTTGCTTCGGCAATTAGTTGGAGATTCGTCTCCAGCTAAGCTGGTCGAAGTCTCTGCCTTCGAGCAGAGAGGAATCCAGACGAGGTTCTGCCGAAGGGCAGAGTCTCGTCTGAGATGGTAGACAGCTACCTGACCCCGTGTATACGGGGTCTACAGGGAATTTTTGCTCGAGCCTACGGGCTCGGGTTTACCCCGCATTAAATAACGACCTTGTGCCACATCCTACCTCGCAGGTTGGTGAGGTAAATAACCTTGCTTTCATCAATTAGTTGGAGATTCGTCTCCAACTGTGCGTGTCGAACTCTTTGCCTTCGCGCAGAGAGGAACCCAGACGAGGCTATACCGAAGGGCAGGATCTCGTCTGGAGTGGTAGACAGCTACCCGACCCCGTTTTTTACGGGGTCTACGGAGAATTTTTGCCCGAGCCAACGGGCTCGGTTTTACACCGCATTAAAAACGGCCTTGTGCCACATCCTGCCTCACAGGGAGGGGAGGTAAATAACCTTGCTTCGGCAATTGGTTTGAGATTTGTCTTTCAGCTGTTCTGTTCGAACGTTCTTCCTTCGGGCAGAGAGGAACCCAGACGAGCCTATGCCGAAGGGCAGAATCTCGTCTAAGGTGTTAAACAGCTAACCGACCCCATTTTTTACGATGTCTACGGGGAAATTTTGCCCGAGCCTACGGGCTCAGATACCCCAGGTTATATTCGGCCTTGTGTCACATCTGACCGCGTGGGGCGGCTGGCAAATATCCTTGCTTCGGTAATTATTTGGAGATTCGTCTCAAGCTAAGCTAGTCGAACTCTCTGCCTTCGGGCGGTGAGGAAACCAGACAAGGCTATGCCGAAGGGCAGAATCTCGTCTGGAGTGGTAGACAGCTACCCGACCCCCTTTTTTACGGGGTTTACGGGGAATCTTTGCCTGAGACTACGGGCTCGGATACCCTTCGTTAAATTCGGTCTCGTGGGGCGGTTGGAAAATATCCTTGCTTAGTTTCATCTCCAGCTGAGCTGATCGAACACTCTGCCTTCGGACAGGGAGGAACCTAGACGGGGCTCTGCCGAAGGACAGAGTCTCTTCTGGGGTGGTAGACAGCAACCTGACCCCGTGTATACGGGATCTACGGGGAATTTTTCCCCGAGCCTACGGGCTCGGTATTTCCCCGCATTAAAAACGGCCTTGTGCCACATCCTGCCTCGCGGGGAGGTAAGGTAAATAACCTTGCTTTGGGAATTACTAGCCTGCCACCCGATTCGCTGTCTTTCAGTAGTGAATTCTCTTGTACTATAAACCTCTCTTCTTTCATCTACGTGCGTGCTGCTGTTCCTTCACTCGGGTATCACCTTTGTGTGTTTGCAACCTCTTTGAGGATACAACAGTAAGAATTTTTTGAGATAATTATGATTTAATGATACAAGTCCTACTAATTAAAAAGAAGTGGAGAGGTGGATTCATACATTTCCTAAGTGTATTTGCTCGTAAGTGAATACAACGAACCCAAATGAAATTGGAACTCGGCTCTCCAATTAACAATCTCGAGTCATTATTCATTACACTACCCACGCATCCAAGCGTATAGCACCTTGTATTCCCAAGTGGTCACCCATCTAAGTACTCACCAGGATCGACGTTGTTTAACTTCGGTGGTCGTACGAGAGCTATTGTTTCAACGTGATGTGGCCGTAAGAGTTAATTAAAGCCTCTAGTATTTTACCAAAAATAGGTAGAAGGTTAATAGGCATCAGGATTACAAGGATCAGAAATCTTAAAGATTGGATCTACAGAAAAAGATTTCCAAAAAGCAAGTAAGCAAGACACGACATAGCATTTATTGTAGAGTTTAGAGAGAACAGGAGCCAGTAAAGGAGTACATTTCTTAATAATTATTGCAGGGATCCCATCAAGTCTATATGCTATTTGGGGATCCAGTTTAGAGATGATAATAGAAACTATAGACGGGGTTATATGCATATCACTCAATAGAACCTCTGTTCTAAGTCGACAGTCAGGCAAATGTACTCAAGATGAGTCAAGAGTAGAATTAGAAGAAAATTTACAAGCAAAACATTCTGTATATCAGCAGATGTTAACACCTCAATCTGAATGAAGAGAGGAGGGATAGAATCCACCTGTCTATCTATCTAACTAAATAGATAGATAGATAGATAGATAGATAGATAGATAGATAGATAGATAGATAGATAGATAGGATTAATGTATATTTATTTTTAATTCGATATTTTTATTACTTCAAACGTTACTTTTTAGTTGATACACGTGTTTGAATAGTTTTTAAACACTATTTATTACGTCTACCAGGCTGCGCATTCGACAGCCTTACTGAGCTTTTTGTTATTTCTCTTAAACCTTGTTCTGCCATCCATTTACGAACTGGTATGTTATTTATTCATTTTTCCCCTGTTCTTCTTGCCTTCAATCTGGTGTTTTGAGTATTATATTTTCCAAGCCTTCTTTCTTCATTATGTGCCCTAGAAATTTCAACTGTCTCTTAAGACTGTCTCTTAGGTATAAGTTTCCTTTTTGTTTCCACTTTCTCTAAAACTTTGTTTTTGCTCACATGTTCAGTCAATGGCATCCTCAGCATCTTTCTGTAGAACTATGTTTCTGTTGTTTCAAGATTGTCCAGCATTCACTGTCATATATTAAATTAAGTACAGAAAAATAAGATACTATATTATAGGTAGCGAACTTAAAGTGACACTTTGTTCTCAGGCATCGCGTAAGATACTAAACCGACTTTACACAGAAGTGCTTATCAATACCTAAGTAATACTGTCATTTTCAATTAGTACTATCTGCAAAGTAATTGACTATGGCTAAGTGTAATTGGCAAAAAAAAATGTCCAACAAACGGAATTGACAACGTTTTCAATAAACAATAACAAAAGAAAAGAACAGGGCAAAATAATACTAAGCAAACTATATATATATGAAAGACAAAACTAGGCAAAACAACGGTAATAAAGCAAAAAAATTCACAAAGTAATGATGGTGTTAACAGGCAAAAGGGATACAGTAAAGAGATTGTTGAACTTCGAAACAAGAAAGAACAAAAATATGGCAGATGAGACCGAGCAGTGGCCTATTTTATTTGTTAGGAAGAAAAATCTACAATGTATCTGCATGTTTTGTCTATAAATCAGAGGAAGGGAAAAAATTTGCAATAATTCCTACAAGGATTGAAACCAACACTATCTAAGTATATATGCATATATGTGTCTACTCGAAATGGGCTAATTTCAAATCCAATATACAATAAGGATTTTAATACAAAAACACACACTTGTTTTTACATTCCGACCGGAAGATGCCAACCAAACATTAACAGCTTTAATATAAAAAAAAACATGCAGTTTTGTCTTTCATTCTGACCTGAAGACGCCAACTTAACGCACGAAGGCGGAACGCGTTGTCATTAAAGAAAAGATTTTCCATTTTGTCTCATTTCTCAACTTTTATTCGGATTTGAGAAATATTGGCAAAATTACTACTCTTACTTTAGTCTCGTCACACAGAGATTCACATAAAGAAGATACCTTTTCACCTTGAATGCCTACGTTGAAAATCAGTTTCGAAAACTTAACTTTCACCAAATCTTGTATATTGATCACTATTGTCGGCGATAAATATGCAACTATCTCAGCCATCAAATTAGTCAAACTTTACATTACATTAGTCTCTCCGTTTACTTTGTTCTGTTAACCATCATTTCATTAAAAAGTAGATGAGAGAAATAAAACCAAATACTGTAAACTAAAAATTCACAAAGTGTCTAATAATCAAGGTAAACACGTGACAAGAAACGACGTAATAGGAAATTGTTCGGAGAGTGTAACTGCTAGCGCGCTATACAGTGTTATTGTTTGGTATTGAATGGTGGTAAGGGGGGGTCTCTTACAATTCTGGCTTTGTATCTATATTTATTCTTGATTTATTCTTGTAATGGCGGCCAGACGTGCTCTGTACACCACTGTTCTTTGTAGGCACAAAAAAAAAGAATAAGAGAAGACATGTTTTTTTGTAACTAAGAAACATACCGTCGGAACTTAAATCTTGTTTACATTGTGGTGAGGGCTGCTACGAAGTTGCTGTTGTTCACCAATGGCGAGCGAGAGGTGTTACAACTTTTCGATGAGGTGGAGAACTATCAAAGCAAATAATTTTTTAAAGAGAAATTAATTTCAACACAAGGAGAAATGTTACACATATACAGGGTGCGATGGGTAAATTGTCGCCATTTTTAAAATTTTTAATTTCGTGCATGCGCATTGTTTGTTTGGGATTTGGTCGACTATAAAATATAGTAGGGTCAATCTGTGAGAAAAAAGAGCACCAAGAGAAAATTCACTCTGCCAGAAATTTGTAAATGACATGCTGTACTGCTTGGCATTCGTACCGGGGGCTCCAATAAAAACATTTCAGTGTGTTTGTGTGTCAATCTGAGGACAGTTCAGAGGATTCGGAAAGAGTTGGATGAGTTTAATGATGATTACAAAGGTACAGCTGCTCGGAAAACTCACTCTGATCATTCTGATAAGAAAAGAACTTCCGAATTTGTTAATGAGGGCCTCAAACTCAAATACAAAAGCCTACATCAAATACCTTGAGAAGGTAATGCTTCCCTGGGTCAAGAGGTTGTCTGCTGGAAGACACTATGTCTCGCAACCGAACTGCACCATGTCACACATGCAGGGTAACCCAGTCAAGGCTGTAAGACAATTTCTGTTACTACATCACCTCTTCTATCTGACCCCCTAACTCCCTAGACTGCGACCCTCTTCATTATTATATTTAGGGCGCAGGTGGGCGAGAGACAACGAAACTCCTTGTAAGACCAAAGATGAATTGAAGGCAAAGATTATGGCAGCATTCATCAACTTAAACAAGGAGAGCGTCCAGAAGAGTTGCAAGAGATTCCCAAGTCGTCTGAAGGCCGTGTTTGAAGCCAATGGCGATTTTACTGAATAAATTTTCGTGTAATTTTAATAAATATATCTGATAAAATGACAATGGCAGTGTTATTCTCATTTTCGCGTCATTTAGACGACAATTTATCCATCGCAAAATAAAAAATTAACATTAAGAAGTGAAAGATAATTGTTTACGTGTATACAGATAATTAAAAAAGGTAAGAAAACACTTACATACTTAGCCACAGTGTGTGTGTGTGTGTGTGTGTGTGTGTGTGTGTGTGTGTCCACAATGTTTGAAATTAATTAGCCGGTTTACCGGATGAATTAGTTTCTTCGGAAGCAGAAAACTGGACGCGTCTTCTACCAACCGCATCCTGGAGCGAAAAAGCGAAGTGAGTTCATGCCCTTTCCTCTTATAGTCCTGGTTAGAACGCCACCTAGCGGACGTCCTTGCAGACAAAGTGAGGGTAATCCCGACAGTAGCAATGAGCCTCGCGTAAGTTAGATTTCATTTGACATTGCTTCACTTAAAAGTCGCATTGTGAAGACTTACGGCATTAATATGAGGTATGAACTAACCTAGCGGTAGTCTAAGAAACCACACTTCTGTGGCTAATAAGTTGAGTGCGTTGGAGGTAAGGTGGGGGGTGGGGGTTAATTTCTACTTTTGTTTTTTATCAACTGTATCTTCCTTATTGGGGTCGTGGGTAATGTAACTCTTATCAGTCTCGAAAATTGAATTATGCATGCTGAATTCAATTTCTGCTGAATTCAATTTCTGCTGAATTCTGTTTTGTTCATTTCACGCCAATGCCTCTGGAAAAGGAATGAATCCATCTTCCTATATCTATGAGACAATAGCAGGGGAAACTGAGCACCCTTGCCTTGGGGTGGCAACCAATCCAGTAGAAGGAAAACTGAAAACTTAATTAAAGTGGGATGCGCTATCTCTGTCGGGCAATATTGCCCAGGACACACCATCACTGCTATAGCTGCATTACATGTGATAGCCTTACAATCCTTATGAGTTCTGGGGCTCGTTATGATCCGCTTGTTACATATCTTCCTTCTTAAAGTTTTCTTATATCCCATGCCGCCTCCTTCAATTTATAGAAGATTCTAGCAGTACCAACTTATTTGCAAAAAAAATTCTAAGCCCCTAACAATTAGACCCTACCACTCTAATTTATTGGGCATAAGAGATTAGCTTGCAAACTTCCACGCCACACACGCACACACACACAGAGAGAGAGAGAGATAGATAGATAGATAGATAGATAGATAGATAGATATGATTAAAACAAAAGATATTAATAGGCCGTTAATGAAATATGTGGAATAAAAAAAAATTGATAACAGTATTGGCAATAAGAGTGATTATATTTATTATATATATATATATATATATATATATATATATTCTGCAAATATGTGTGGATCACTCTACTCAAGGTGCAATCATTTGCATAATATTCTTCGTAAGTGGGTTTATCATGCGTTCACTCCGAGACGAGTGCTCAAAAAAATGTCATCTTATGTATCGGTTAATCAGTGCTTAAACACCGTTCAACATATCCTCCTCCCTAATAAAGTCATCAGAAAGACTCGGGTGTGCCCAGTAAATCCCATATGTCACGAACATATATACACATATATGCATGCACACACGTTAGTTGTTTCAGTTTTTGCATTACACTCAAAGGAGGATTTATTTTGTCAAGGTCGCTGCTATCCAAATGCAATAAAGCTCTTTTGTAGTTATAAATTCTGGCAGATCATTTGAATTTATTTTGAAATTTCTAGAGGTATATGATACATGCTTTAAATGTGTGGTTTATATTATTTCGTGCTTAGGTTAGAAACATTCCGACTCCTTAGTAGTGAACAACGATTTTCCTTTACCTGATTTCAATATAGTTGAACAACGAACCCTCTTAGATGCTTAACTTTTGTGACTCAATGACAAACTTTCTTATGCATTGTTTTATATTTACATAAACGAAGATTACGAAGTCTGGTATACCCTGATGTTTAAACCATAGCCGAAGGGAGAAGAAATGGATTCATGCCTTTTGCTAAAGTTAACGCAACAGATAGCCCGAAATTAGAATTCCACTTAGAATTCCAATATCGTAAATACAAAGTTTCAAAATGAATATTATAATTATAAAATGCAGTTCATTTGTTTCCTTCTTTCATGTACTGTGTCCATTCAGGACGTGGCGATCATAGCTCTCCACAACATCCTATCTTTTGTAGTTCTAAGCAACGTTTATCCCCTTACAATTTTTCCTAGTCTCTATTCTGTCATCCATTTACACAAAGCTCGTTAAGTAGGTTACTCAATGTTGTCTTCTGTCTCTCTTGCCTTCAGTATGTCATGTGAGTGTCAAATTTTTCAAGCTCTCTTTCCTCATATATGTCTCAGAAATTCCAGCTATCTCTTTTTGATTCTAAGAATCATTATCTCTTTATTATTTTTATATTAATATTCTTGAGCATGTACTCTCCCTATTGAGTATAGGATCACAATACCATGCTTTGGTGATGCTATTGTGGTTTCAACAGCAAGAATGTTGTTTATCTCTGAAACTATTACCCCCACATCCTACCGTCCTTAGATTTGTTGTATTATTAAGGTGAAAGACCCCAATCTGCACTGCTATTTTACCCACAGATGAGGAGAAAAAAGATCAATCCATCCATCCAAGGCCAGATCAGTAATATCAGTATTAACCGTAGTATAAAATAAGCTTTAACGAATAATCGCTATTTTAAAAAATTGCATAATATATATTTTCTAATATATAATAAATTATATAATTATATTATATAATTATAATATAATGATATAATTATTACTGAATCAACAGCTATCATGCTGTTGCCAAAACCTTCATCAGATGATGACCTTGTGGTCAAGAATGGTTTCACGGTTGAAACATCATTCCAGTAATCTAGGATGCTCGAAAAATACCACACGATATTATCAAACAGTTGAGGTTATTAGTCACAATATAAGAGTATCATATCCGCAGAGATTAATTTTGCAATTATTTTTTTTATAAAGTCATGCAAAGTTTCGTTATGCTTTTGGTAGTTGAATTAGAAACAAAACGACGTTTTCCCCAGAATGAACCATTAATTTAATAATGGGGGACTTTTTAATTGGTTTTTGACAAAGGAATTTCGCAAAAAAATGTTATCTAATAATAAAAGTATATAATTAGGAACCAGACGTATGCCCGCAAAATAAAAATTGAAAAACTTTTATTACTCGTTAAGAAGGAAGAGAATTTTCATTTAATTTTATCTACTTATTTATTATTTTATTTATTTATTTATTTATTTATAAATCAAACATGCTGATAACACGTCGTATGGAGTGTCAAGTTTGTAGCAAATATTTTTTTTTTCAATTAAATATTCTGATAGCTCGACTATCAATCTATCCACATAGAAATAATCGAAAACCACTGGCTGCGTTTTAAGAAAGAAAAGAACATTCGACACCACCCTTGCCATCAAAGGCAATACATTTGTCTTTATATATTTAGATGAAAAAAAAAAACAGAAAATATTAAATCAAAAATATAAACGATATGAACAAATTTATATTTTTTCCGCATGTGTGTCTGGCTCATATCTAGATTGTTTTCTTTTCTTTTTTTCTTTTGCCATGTCCCTTCAGGGTATACGTGATTATGACACTCCACAGCTTCCTTTGCTTTTTTTGATACTGTGTCTCTTCAGGATATAGATGATCATGGCACTCCACTAATTTTTCTTATTATCTGTGGAAGGCTATGCATTCATGAGAAAGATAACCGATTGGTTTCCCATTGCCTTTTTTGTAATTCTCTCTTACTCTGATTGTCACCCAAGGTTAGAAAGTCTGGTATACTCCGATGTTTAAACCATAGCCGAAGGGAGAAGAAATGGATTCATACCTTAACGCAACAGATAGCCCGAAATTAGAATTCCACTTTCAGCGCCGATATCCGTGACACTACCCACATTTCTTAGGCTCTGTTTTATTAATCATGAAATCAACTAATGACATTTTCATGTCTTTTCGAAGAACTGACTGCATGAGGGTATGGATGTCTGTACGTGCAATCAACAGTAGCGATAAAAATCGAACTTAAAGCATTACTAAACAGTTTTGCACTGATTTCTCGCAATGTTTACAACAGACAGTAATCGACGCAAATACACTAAGATATATATAAATAAAAAAGACGTTTTACTCACATCTGTCTATATTTCTGAGATGAAGTATTTCAACCAATCACACTATTTATATTGTTCGGACTGTTGTCCTCATCTTTATTGCCATATTTACAACGTTTCGGCCGTTGTGCGCTCCGGCCTTCTTCTCCCTAAGGACACATAGCCCAGCTAATAAAGGCGTTGGTGGAAGTCATCAGTGGCTTGACCCAGAGTTGTGAGTTCAATACCTGGATGTGAACAAAAATTTTGAGAGCTGAGTTACTAAAGGGAAATCTAATTTCTTAAGTTTCGTTTAATAAATATCTCTACAGAAATTTCAAATAAACCTTTTAATGCTTTTAGGTACTTCTGTATTTTAAAGTGTTCGAGGTTGAATTAAAGGCAGAATTTAAAATGCTGATTTTTCAATGTGGGTAGGCTAATTTTGACTTTGGCGCAACTCAATCTTCTTACTTCCTATTTATCGAACTAAATTATGCTTGGCAAATATCTATATACAAAAATACATGTATATACATACGCACACACAAGCAAATAAATAAAAACGTGCTCCCACATACAAGGACATACTTAGACACACTTAAATCACGGAAGTAATTTTATTTATCCCTGTAGTCGTTTGTCCGCGCCATTGGTGTCCTCGGGTCACCTTCTTTCGGACTAAATATCGTCCCCCTCACTATGCACCTCATAATAATTCGTTGTCCCCTAAGACTTTACAAATTAGGTCTTTTCTTTTCGAACACCTCTTTCCCTTCCCTCACCGCGCCTCTTCTTCTTCCTACTTTAATCTATGCGTTATTCACTTTTCATTTTCTTTTGGGTGGGGAGGCTGCTTTTCTTAAATTATTTTCTTTTTTTTTTTTCTTTTTTTACCTTCCGACTTATGTTTTCGTCGCTTTTTACTTTTCTCTTATATTTTTTGTCCTATTTCGACATTTTGCAAACTCTTTTCCATTTTCTTTCTCGTATTTTTACACCTTTTTTTCTTCACGTGACTTCCGTTTTTTTTTCTTTTCTTGTTTCTTTTCTTTTCTTGTTTCTTTTCTTTTTGTTATTTTTTTCGTTTCTCCTCCTCCTTTTACTTTTTCTTCTTTCTTTTTTATAACCTCGTATTCCTCTATTTTTGCTTACCACTCTCTTTCTTCCTTCTGCTATTCTCATTCTCTCTCCTTCATCTTGAAACTCTTTAAAACGTTCTTCCCTCTACGTATTACTCCTATTTTCTTCTTTCTTCCGCTTTTCAACATTCATTTTATCCTTGTCTTCGTCCTCTCTCTCTCTCTCTCTCTCTCTCTCTCTCTCTCTGAGTTTCTGTACATTTTTCTATACTTAATTTTCAACTGCCCAACCTGCCTCTTCGTCTCTTTATCTATTTATATCAATTTCTTTAATCTATCTATCTATCTATCTATCTATCTATCTATTTCAGTTTCTTCATAGCTATTCTTCTCTATTTGTCAGTTCCTTTCTCTCTTTCTCTCTGAATCACTCCATAATCTATGTTTGCTTCTTTTTCGTTTTTACCTTTTTTCGTTCGACATCTTATCAAATTTTACGTTTTCCCCTCCTCTTTCTACTCTCCTTCATCTCCCTCCCTCTCTCTCTCTCTCTCTCTCTTTTCATTTGCTCTTCCTCTTCCTCTTCATATTCCTCCAACACCCACCTTCCCCATTCTATTTCTTATTTATTTTTCTTACAGTCTTTTTGTTTTACTGTTCTTTTCAAGGATATTCGGTTCAAGCTACATAAGTTTCGACCTTTTGGCTGTTCTCTCGACTGACTGTCTCGAAAAAGAAAATAAATGGGCGTATGGAACTCATGGATAAAGCAATAGTGAAACCTTAGGAAAACAATTAATTAACCACGGGTTAAACACGCGACAAGACCAAAGGATAAAACTTATGGGTAAAGACAAACCTTTTTTCATAAATGATTGAGAGACAGAAAGAGACTATTTGGCTTAGCAAAAGTAAGATAGATAGATAGATAGATAGATAGATAGATAGATAGATTAGGTATTGCAGATTTTACAAGTATGTGAACGTACCGCTATGACTGCGTTTTTCAATTATCCAAAGAGAGGAAGCCCTACTTGTCACTAAAATCAACTTTTCATAACCCATCATATACAAAGCCATAACTTTTTTTAAAAAGACGAGATTTTGCTGTTGATGTTACATGCAGTCCTGTATCCATCCATGATTTAACACGCTCTGGATTATTGCAATGCATTCACTTTACAACTCCAGTATCAATCTTCCATATTTTGTTTCAGTTTTTATTTTTCAATCTCTTGCAAGAAATGAAATGTGGATGTTAAGATACTGTCCTATTCTAACAATTCATGTAGAAAACAGTTCCCTTCATTTTCTGTCTTCCCAATAATTTGCAAACGGCTTATAACTGTTGATTGATTAACACCAAGTTTCTTAGCCGATTTCAGCATTGGCTGTGTTTATCACCCAAAAGAGCTTGCAAGTCACTACTTTCAAATTTTTGTGGTCTATGACAATGTGATTTATCCTCCAAATCAAATTCACCTTCCTTGAACTTTGCAAATCATTGATTTTGCTTCCAAGTAAACCATCTTCATAGGCTTCATCAATCATCTTCACTTGTGTTATTCTCTTACACAATTTGAAAAGCAACAACATTCTATGTTGCATGTTCATTCTTTTCAACAAAGGATAATCACTGAATACAGAGAATCTCTGTTATAGTATATTATTGGTGGGCACAATCTTAACAACATAAAAGCTACAAAGGATGAGAAGTTGTGGGGGTTCATGATAATATTCACTTTTCAAAAATATGGCGCCGGGGAATATGCATATAAATATTTGATCAAGATAGTGAATAATTTTTATTATTACAACAGTCCTATCTCGACACAAGCACAATTTATAAGCGAAAAGTCGTTTTTCTTTGTTAATTAGTCGTATTCAAGGAAAGTGATCTCTTACGAGTTGCTGGGACCTAGGTAAAATATTACTATTCAGCATCACAATGTGAATTTGGTGTGTTTGAATAACCCATTGGAAACAAGAACAATTTTATCTCATCAAAGAATTCTACCGGTAATTTTCCCGCGTGGAAGTTGCAAATGGAATACAATAAAGCATCAGAGAGTTAAGATAAGTAGTTCTTCCATATGCGTTTATTTTACGAACCTAAAACCTCTTGGATATTATTTTAGTTTCTTTCCTTGTTTGTTAAACCCTTCCAACAAATAATTTAAAAAATCCTCGAATTCATCGAATGAAAATAGAAATCGTTCATGAAAATGGGAATCCATGCATTACCTGAAAACTAGCATAAAATCACGGAAAGACAAAGAAAATCTATCATCTGCGAATGATGACACTATCGATTTATAGGGATAAAAGATTATGTCATAAAAATGTTAAAAGATTGGATCAATCAAATAAAAAATAAAAATTTAAAAATTTGTCTGTTTTTTATGGTTAAGGAATTTAATACGTGTAGTTTGCTGTTCCTTATTATCTTTTTTTAAAAGAGTCTTAACCATTAAAATAGCAACCGAACATCTTAAAATTAAATTAATTCTCAGATCAAACATACTACATATATTTCAGCACTAAAAAGGCGACAAAACACCACAAAACTAACGCATGAATAACGACATTAAACTCACCGACGAGTGAAGACACAACAATCGAAAACCGCCCCAAAAAACAATGCATACCTATAGACACAACCTGATTAACCGACAAAAAATTATTTGATGGTGACTAATAAAACTCGATAGTGCTCAGAAAACAGTCTTCAAAGAAGTATATATATATATAAATATAAAAGTGAACATAGAAGTCAACACTTGACTTCTATTTTCACTTTTATATTTACACACGCACTATCTCAGATATTGATCACTTTATCCCATAAATATAGCACATCTTAAGACTATATTTCTTCATATATATATATATATATATATATATATATACACATAGACACACACATAGACAAACACAAACACATATATATATATATTTATATATATATATATATATATATTTATATATATATATATATATATATATATATATATATATAAACAATTGTGTAGTTTTAAAACTTTTTAATTTGTCCCTTGCATAGAGATGCCAGTGAATTCTTCTATCAAAATAATAATGGAAATATCTATTATTAGAATAAGTCAAATGATGCACCATAATTTATTTACACCTTAAATTAGCTTTTAGTTCATTTTTATCTTGCATATAAATGGATAGTAATGTACTTAAAAATATGAAAGTCTTGAATATTGTCCTAAAACATTAACCAGAAAATTCGAGTCAGGTTCTTGAATAACCTCGTTAAATCGACACATTCAAATGGATGTCATGAATAGCATCAAACTTGTTCAAAAATATCTGACAGTCAGCTGTATAAAATTGATGTCTCAAATGAATACTTAAAAATGGTTTCTAGCGTATGAAATCTGTAGGCCTTAGAGAGGACCATATTTCTCCAAATTTTGTGTGTTGGGCCTATAGAATTACAAAGAAATATACCAAATAATACAAACCACATCACCAAGTGATGTTAACGTTCAACAATAGAAACAACTAAAATGAATAACGCATGTAACACGAAGAGAAAATGATGACATAATCAAGATGTTGACATTTCACATTACTTCAAACAAAGGTAAGGAAGAAACCCCCCCCCATCAATACTGGAAAGAGTAATAGCAGTTAAGGAACTTGAAAAATCTATTTGCTTGAAAAATTGTTTTACGAGAAAAGAGCACTGCTTGCTTGGTCAATTAATGGCGAAATTTTCCTCATAAAGAAACAGTTAATTAGCATTACGATTTATGACGGCACAGGTAAACAAGTTTTGCTTTCATCCACATTACTTATTTACAAATTACTGTTGGGTTCATATTGCCACAACGACTTAACGAATATTGTTTCCTTTAACTGTTGTATTATCCCTTTTCTCATGAAACAAGACGCTAAAATAAAACCATGGTTACGTTTGAAACATCTTCCATCATTTTCATCTGTTCCCAAGCAGAAAATTTAACAGAATGCAACAACCAGCATTTTACGGTGTCCATCCAATATAGCTCTCCATTCGTCACTAAGATTACTCTTGAGAAATCGGTTTTCATTTACTTTTTCGCCAAACATACATTGATGTTTTCTTAAGTGTTAGTTTGGTTGAGTCTTCTTGCCTTTAACTAATTTTCTTAATATTCTGCATTCTCTCTCTATCTCTCTATCTCTATCTCCCTCTCTCTGCCTTTACATTAGCAACAGCGGTTTCTACAAACATTAATTGCTGATCAATCTACTTTTCTTGTTAATTACTATTAATTTTTATCACATCGTTTTTTATAACATAGTGTCCAACATCATTGGCAGTATTTTCTAGATGATTTAGGAGTACTGTGGCATTGGTAATGATGTCAGCAGTGATAGCTAAGTCATCTGCATCGTCAATAAGGCTTAATACAAACTACCCCATGTAAATCATTAAAATCTGTCGAATATTTTACATACCTAGGAAGCGAGATAAATTCTACTGAAAAGAATGTGATAATTCACATAGCTAAAGCCTTGATGTAATCTGGAAATCTGATCTACCAGACAACCTCAAGTGGAGATTCTTTCGAGTCACTGTTGAGGCAGTGTTAATGTATGGTGCCACTGTCTGGACAATAACCAAAACCCTAAAATCTAAGCTTGATGGAACCTACACTCAGATGCTAAGAGCTATATTTAAGATCTCTTGAAGACAATATCGAACTAAATCACAGCTCCATCCCTAATATTTCTACAATCTTACGAGAACGCAGAATGCGCTTTGCAGGATATTACTGGCGAGCAAAACAAGAACTCGTGTGTGATCTACTGTTCGGGGCACCTAGCTATGGAGCAAGACACACAGCAGCAACGTATATTGAGCAGCTATGTTATGACATAGAATGCCTCTCTAATGACCTTCCCACCTTGATGCAGGACCGCGATGATTGGCGTGATAGACTGATGGATGCCCGAGCTAAAGCGACCGAATAAAAATTTTGTAACATTTTTGCAAGTCAGTATTTTTTTTAATTTATTTTGCTAATGTTTTCAATTTCTTTTTCTTTTTTTTTTTTTTGTTTTAGTTTTGGTTTGGTTTTTACCCTTGTTGCATTGCCCCGCAATTTATTATATATATTATTTACAATAGGATAAGCAACCCTAAGTTTGCATAATGTAATCATCACCAGCAGCAGTAGCAGCATTCTTCCACACCCAGTAACCCCTTTTGCCTTAGTGGCTTTAATTTCTTGCTTAGGGGGATTTCGAAATCACCCCAAGCAAGGCGGTCCAGTGGTGAGTGGAGAGCTACATTGGATGGACACCGTAAATAATAAATTTCTTTTCACATTTGAAAGCTGAATGTTGAAGCCTGTGAGCGATTAACTTATGTGTAGTGTGTCATAGGCAAGTAAATCTGGCGGAGACCATCTTTCTCGAGATCAAACCACAGTCGACGTTCTCTAGTTTTAAAGGTTTCTTGGTGTCGTATACGTGACCGTCGATTCCATCGGGGGGAACCTCCATCGCCAAAACTTCCTACTCCATTGTGCTAAACGGTCGTACAAGGTTTAATCTGCCCTTTAACAGATTTTGTTTTTAATCTAGAAAACCTCCTCGCGAGATGAACCTGACAGCACAACAATTTCAGCCGCCAAAGATCTGAGAATGTGGCACTGGATTACGTGGTACCAGTAGTAGAGAAATCTGATATAAATAAATTATTGTAAATGTTTCTAATAAAAACAGATATAAGCAGAAATCCAAATGGTATATTTATTATATAGAATTATATCCTGAAAAATTTACTAAGATCCGTTGGTTAATACTAATTTTATTAAGAAAAGCTGAATTACATAATAAAATTTGTCATAGTGTAGAGCAGCGTTTGTAATTAGTATTAGGCGCAATCAACAAAGTAAATAAACTTCCAGTGATTGTGATTAAATTTCAGTTCTATTAATTGAAATATTCGCAGAAAATTGTCTGATC